GGTCGATATTTACATTTGAATTTCGACGTTACGTCATGTGACTTTCATCATCATGTGACGTCTGTGAAGGCAGTGATTACAATTCTGCCAAGGGAGGTAATCAGTGTGAGGAGTTTGTTATTCTACATCAAAACAATGGAAGTGACGTAACGTCAATGAACGACGCCCGCCGTGGCGTTGTTTGCCGTCTGCCGCGTTATTCTTTGGTATTAACTCCATACGGTCTATAGTTTCTTAATTTATTTTTCCACAAATTTTCTATTGTTTTTCTGTATATATATATACATTTTAAATAAATACATACTCTAACTTGCCGTATATAATCAATCAAAGCACAGAAGGCGCTGAATTTGTTTGGGTCTCAGAATGTAAGAAAGGTGCAGGTTGTGAGATTATATGTATAGTGCCACCAATGCTTTCCAGCGTTTTAATTGTAGTAAATTGGCTATAAGACTAATTGCAACACTGATATTCAATCCAATGTTTATTTGACTTTAACAATTTGAAAAAAATGAGTTACCTTTACTGGGATTTGAACTCCAGACCTCTCGCTTCCTAAGCGAGCCCGAAAACCCTTCAGCCACGGTGAATTTATATGTGAACGGGCTGAAGAAAACCATATTATTTTAAATTAGGTCTTGTAACGACTTTAACTGTTGTTTAACACAGATGTAAATAATCCTAAAGCTTACTATAGGCATTTATATTTATAAAGAATCAAAGTTATGTGGTATTTTCTGATCTTTGCAATCTAAATCGTACTGTATATCTGTATGCATTTTCCTGTATAGGTTTATTTTTATGTATTATAATCCATTTGCAAGGCACCAGAGTTTGATACATACGGAATTCTGCATAACTAGAGTTGCATCAAAAAATCATTTATGTTCATTTTTTACGACAGTCACACTTTATCCTTGCATATCATGGCTACTTCCTTAACAAAAACACTTAAAAAAGAATTTAACAAAAAAAAGAGTTTCCTCGACTGGGATTCGAACTCGAGACCTCTTACTCACTAAGCGAGCGCGTTACCACTGTACCACGGAGAAGTTATACACAGAGAGTCTGAATAATATCAAGTCTTCCTAAATTTAGAACTTCCATTGCATTTCGGGTTTGTAATCCTTAGACCAAAAAAAAAAATTGTTTGTTTAGGGTAACCTTCCCAAAATTGCTAGGTAGGGTAGGTAGGGATTTTTTTATATTTTTTATATTTTTTTTTTTCAAAATCAGTCGTAAGTTCAGAGTGTTTTCTTGCACATGGCAGTCTTTCCTACACTACTGACATTGCTTGACTTTGTATTATCATATTTTATCATATAAACAATAATTCTGATTAAAATCTGCATAGCTTTAATGCCATTTAATGTTATTTCAATATTGAATAAAGACAATATACCCAAACATGTGTTAATTTTGATGTTTGTTTGCTACAGGCACTACTTTAAAGTTTGACTCTAACCTGAACAGCAAACATTGCAGATTCTGCTGATCTGAGTCTACATTGGTTGCATGGTAGGAGTTAAGCACAATAAAAGACCTAAAATGACATGCTGTGATCTGGCTTTCAAAGTTTCAGTTAAAAAATCTAGACTTATTCTGTTTTTCACTATTTGATATTCATGCATTAAATACTGCAAATTTCATTGAATTAACAATCTTGAAGCTCTTACAGTATTACAAAGTTTATATTTTGACACTGTGGTACAATTTAACAAAATCTATAATTCTGAATTGCACTTTTGATACACTGGTTCACATAAAAAGTGCAAAAACTTCTATTTGTAAAATGACACACTTGTCAATCAAATACTATTTATTTCTATCAGATACATGTATATCAACATATCAAAGACAATAGCCAAGCTTTTTGATGAATTGGCATTTTGTAGATGTCATTCAAAGTGTCGTCTCATAGTGTCCATGGCCCATCTGAAAAAAAAGAGCAAAGACTAGGTCTCAATAACACATGTAAAATGGGATACATTTGTGACGGTATGAAACAAAATGATGCACAGTAGAGTCAGACTCCAAGTCTGGTAAAAATTTGTTTCAGTATGCAAAAGAGGATGAAAAATATACTGGAAAAGCTTTGCAGATCTCCAGAATAGCTATGTACATATGACCTGTGGCTATACTTTATACTCAAGTGCACTAAGTCTTGATTTTCAGTGGGACCAGGGTCTCATTCATTTTGAAGTGTGGCACAGGACATATCAAAACAGCTTTTCAAATTTTTAAATATTAAAAGAAATAAAAAAAATAGTGGCATTGATTTGAACTATAATGTGTTAAACCTTGTTATTTATGCAATAAAATATCAATATACTAAAAAAAAAAAAAAGAAATTTCACTGACAGGTATGCATGATCCGAAGTACGAAAATTATGGGTATGTTCGTTCTCGGTGTCAAAATTTTCCACCGGCAGGTAATATCGTCGGATTTTCGCATGGAATCAATGCAATATATATTTTCTATCAAAATTTGTCTATGAACAGAATCCTTATTTACACGTAAATTTACCACAGTAAAGCCAGAAAGTCAGAAATCACCAGGTCCGAAAGATGAGACCGTCATGACATGTACATTGTAGCCTTGTATTTACGCTTGAAATACTACATCAACAAAGAGATCAAACGGGTCGAACACTCATGCTAACAACTGGATTTTACATACTTTAAAAAATTTAAATGGTTTTATCCTCCACGAGTGACACTAAGTCCTATGTGCCTGTATTTTAAGAAAAAATCTTCATGTATAAGAAATTCCTAAATCGGAAGTGTTTTCCCGCAACACGTGCTTGGTACCCCGTTCCGCTCTATGTCAATGTATGTAAAACGGTAGTCCTTCATTGAAAGACATCGCATTTTCTTTTTTTTACATTTTGACGTTTATCGGAAAATGCGAAGTCTTTCCATAACTGGCTAATTTCCCATAGCACTAATCGACACGCTTCTCGAGTCGATTTGAATTTACCGGTACAATAAAAGACAAAAACAATAGTACGAAATTAGTCTGAACGAAAAAAAATTCTGTTGTGATTTAAGACGCTGACAGGTGCGCGCAATAAAAATTTCGTCTAAAAAATATGGTTCCAGTAATCACCGCATTGCGTAGTACACATATGGAGGCTGTTTACACAATTTTAACATGGGATTTGTTTTAAATTGTTTAAAATTTGAATAAGTTGATTTTGATAAGGAAAACACACATTTATGGTAGGATTATGATTATTTGTAACATTTTACATCAGAAGTTTGAATGCTTGTGCATGTTTATTGTTTTTCATTTTGCTATGGATTTTTAAATAGATATCTTTAGACGTTTAAGCGGATTTGACCCATGTAAAAAATAGCTTCAAATCCGCGGTTACGTCTAAATATTTGGACTAGTAAAACGGAAGCCGGAGAATACTTCCGGTAGGAATTACCTTCTAAAAATATCGTCGTCATGTAGAATTTTTGTTTCCAATAGCGTGATATTCATTGGACCGCAATACAGCACGAACCAATCAAAACACGTATAACTAAAAATGACCGATCCAAATCGTCTGAGTGTTTTACGACAGCGTCTCAAGCGTTCAATTCGCATTTTCCGCCCTTTGAAACTCTCTATTCGCTAACGAATATATTTTTTTTTTGTTCAGAAACGGAAAAAAAATAGTTAGGGTCGGCGCATTTTTATAGGTAGGGTCGGGTTACCCGAAACAAACATATTTTTTTTTTAGGCCTTATTAATTTCGAGGTATTTTGTTCAGGGTAAACCTGTTGTTTAAAATTGAAGTAAATATTTTAGCGAAAATCCTCTCGCCCAAACAGTCCGACATGTATAATCTATATATTCCACTACTCGGTTTGTGTAGTATTCGGTAATAAATAGTATTTTCATTGATAAAATCATATTCATCCGCGTAATTTGTGATTGTGCATTTATTGACAATTCTATAAGCCAACGCTATTGTTTAACTTTAAATGCGTTGTAATTTGTTGGATACTTGTAACAAAATAAAATATGTCTTTCTTTTAAATCGCTAGTTTTAAGCTGTTTTGAGAACTACTTGTTGTTAGGTTTGTCGTAAACTTCTGTGTCAGAGATTGAATGTCCGCTTTGTATTTAGTTATTTTCGATCAGAAAATACAATAAAACAATATTAGAAATCTTCGACCATTCGGGAATTACTTTGCTTGAAAATTGATGCGCCTGTCTTTGACAATCTTTACGCAGTGATCTCCCCTGAATTTTTCGGCTTTAGTGTACATACAAAAGGGAAGTAACCGCTTCAAAAAAGTGGACTACTTTCGGCATTTGCAATTAACAACATTAGACTCTGAAATTTCGCTACCATTATTTGTTTGGTCTGACGACCCAAACAAATAAAAACGCTAATTTTAATTTTACCGTAGCTTTCGGCCTTGCAATTTCAAAGGTTGCAAAAAAGTTTTGCGAACACGCTAAATACTGTACTGTACAGTACTGCAGTAGAGTTGATATTTTTTGCTATACTCGTTCGTGTTTTCATAATACATAAAAAAAATCGACAGACTGGAACCCAGGCTACAGTAGAGTATATACATGTAGTACTTATCGCTGACCACTGAGTGACGGTACTTGCTTCCCATACATTAAACCAAACTCCGCGCACCTGTTTATCTAATCCTGTAAGGAGAGATCACTGCGTGGAAGATTGACCTTTACACTTTAGGCCTAAAAAAAGTGTTTGTTTCCGGTGTCCCTACCTACCCTTTTTTGGCCACCGAGCCTAATTTTTTTTAGGGAGAACAGGCAACATTTTTTGTTTGATGCTGCATGATAAACTTTCCGTCGCATACTCAGTACATTGGATAAAAAAAAAAATATTTAAAAAAAAAATGCCTACCTTTTAAAACCATGTCACTGGAAACAAACACTTTTTTGGTTAGGCCTTATGATGTCACCGCACCTAATAGGTGATGTCATAAACATGTACGTAACAAGGAATAAATATTCATTGTTTGGGTTATAGAAGTTCATAAATTTAAGTAACGTTTCTAGTTGCGTTATGAGTTCTTGGTGGATTTTAGTCATATTATATAGATATATTATTTCAATACATAATTGAGTTAATACGGTACAGTAAGTAGTCCACATGGCTAGATACTGATATTGTACACATGCATAACTTTAAGTTTCAATGGAGTCTAGGAAAATTTGAAAACTCGAGAAACAGTGAAATGTGACAATAACTCTAATGAGTACACTACTGTCCAGTACAGGTAAGATTTATGTACATAAAAACATTGAACTATCTCAGTTATCTGAAACCTATTTTAATTTAGTTTTAGTAAACAAAACGATTCGAATATCAAATCGTTTATACCTTTGTGATAATATTCGGCAAATTAATTTTCATCTGACGTCGCCATTTTGGGCATTTTCAAAATAACACTGCTGTTACGTATTATGCTACAGACTTAAATTTTCAAATTAACGTTACATAAACGTCTGTTGGTGATATGACGTAAAAATGAATGACGTAATTCCACATGAATGTATTTCCCATAATTATTATTATGCTAGAAGTTAAAGGCATTATTTTAAGAAGCATGCTCTGTTAGGCCACATGTGTCACAAATCACATTCGTCACAAGTTTTTATGAATTTGTGACGAATGTGATCACATTCGTCACAAATGACTTTTGTGACGAATGTGATTGACCAAAATCGGGTAAAAATGCCAATCACAAACGTCACAAGCAAAATTGAGAATTTTTAAACAGGCGAATCACAAATGTCACAAGTTTATTTTTCAATATGTGATACACGGAATATCATAAGGACAATCGTGGTTATATCAGTGCGATAGTACAAGGGCGACAATGCAATAAATCGATATTGTGATGTCGACATCACGATACCAATATCTTTTCACCACCATTGCATTATCGCCATCGTACTAACTTGTTGCAATATCGTATCGTCGGCATTGTATTGTCTTCATAGAACTGTCGCATTGTCGTAATGGTATTGCTATCAAGTCGTCTTACGTTCTCGAAACCTTCAAAAATTTTGGTGACAATGCACGGCATAGTATCAGACTTCAACTGGAAGTGATCTTTTACCTCTGTGAACCCTCAAATTTCTTCCCACCATACAGCGACAGTCTAAAGGAATCTCACAGACTTAATCTTAGTTTCAGTACAAATTATGACCATATCTACACCAATGAGACCATATATGATTGTTTGGGAAGTAGCTGAGACCCCCGTTGACTTTCAGGATATCTAATTAGAGATTAGGACCTTTTGACATCAATGAACCTTTTTTGGTCTGACAGACTTTTGACTTCCGCAGACTTTCAGGAATCTTGGTTCAATTAAAGAGTATGACATTTTGACATCTAGGAACCTTCTTTCCTGAGACGATTTTGCAAGTCTGTGCCAATTGCTTGCAGACGCTCTATGGAACTTTCCATATCTATTCCACTAGTAATAATAATATAGTTAATTCGTTTAAACAGATCGTGTCTTTGTGGCGGGGCCGCTTTATCTTTTCGACGCGTCTTAGCTTTTTTCGCCTTTTATGATTAGATAGTTTCAAACGACGGTGTTTAGTGAATTTTATAGAGGATATTTGTTTGTTTTGAGTGAATATGAAATATATTTCACTGAGAAGTGAGAAAAAAAATGAAATATGTATCACGAGCGCGTAGCGCGAGTGAAAATATGAACATTTTCTCACTTCGATGTGAGATATAGTTCATATTCACGAAAAGCAAACACATTTTCTTTTTATTTTATGTGCCTTTTGAAAAGTGCTTTTAGACCGTTTACTACTGAAGCGCGGAGACTACGCGCGCGTAAACAATATGACGGCAAACGTTAACGCTGCAAGCAAAATAATCCTTATTTATTTATATTTCTTTTTGCGGTCTCATTGTCAACAATCTTACAAAATTACGGACATTTGAATCGAGAAATATGTCATTTAGAATGAAATTAAACAGTTATTTTTAATGCATGTTTAGGGAATCCAGACTTATAAATACGTACGCAGAGTGGGCGTGGCTTATATCACCCAAATCTATATCACCACACTGTGACTGATATAATTATTTTCGTTTCACTTGTTTCTCCACAACTGAAGCTGTTCACTTAAAACTTCACATATGTGTATGAGGTGAACGTGAAAGGTCACATCCCAAGTTCCATAACTCTGTCATGTATTTTGACTGAATAGTGTCTCTTTTTCGACTTAGAAAGTCAGTGTTTAGTTTTTGCGTGTAACTTTTATCTCTACAACAACAGAAGATATTGACTTGAAGTCACACACCAAGATTCATAATCTTCCATTTTGACTGAATTATTTCCCTTGTTCTGCGTTTAGTTTTTCTTGTAACTAGTACAACCACAAAAGATATTAACACATGTGTTCGGGATGAAAATGTTAGCTAACATACCAATACCCATAACATTACCCAATTTTTCCAATTATTAACCTCTGTGTTGAGTTTTTTCTGTAACTAGTATCTAAAGATATTCACATGAAACTCGGTATTATGTGTCTCGTATTTGGATGTTATAACACGAAAAAACATGCGTTATCCCTATATTGAAAATGAAAAGCAAAACATAAATTAGCAATAAAAAGGTTATAGAACAGGTCTGGTGTGCCTAAATGCGATTTATCACATGTTTGACGTCGCGGGAGTGTAATAAAGCCATTACATATTTTCCATATTACTTAGAGGTTATTATACAGGGCAAGTGTGCCTGAAGGAAGATATCGGCACACTTGGTTAGGTATTGGCCCGAGGGCTTTAGCCCGAGGGCCAATGCGGACCAAGTGTGCCGATATCTTCCTTCAGGCACACTTGCCCTGTATCATAACCTTTTTATTGCATATGTAGACACTCAATTATGTTATTCTTCTAAACAAAGTTTAATGTTTTATCTCCATACTGTTTTCTAACAAATCGTGTCTATTTTCTTCACATTTTCCGTTCGCCACAAACATTTGTATTTTAAATATCTGCTCATTAAATTTCTATAAAATCATATAAAAATGTGCAGAAATTTAATCTTTATCTATCCTGTTGCGTGTTATGCTGATAAGTTAACTATAAGTTATATCTTGAGCGCTCCAACGTCAAAACTTGTTTACGTCAACCGGACGTGACGTCATGATATGGATTTTTGGCACACTAGCAAGTGTGCCGATATCTGGCACACTTGCTCAATGCATGCTTATATCGGCACTCTTTGGCAATATCAGCACACTTCCTTAGCATTTTTGTTACTATTTATAGTAACAAATGCAATAAACTAGTATAATATCGTTTTGACGTCGACGTCATTTAACGTTAGCGGACGTCGCTTGATTTTACCGCGTTTATAAGGCAAAATAACAACAATTTTTCGGTTTATCGGCTCCAAAATTTAACCTGTGATATGAATAAAATAATAAAATGCTCGGCAGAGCCTCGCAATTTATTATTTTATCCAACTCGTTTAATAAATTCAATATGAAAAGACACTCATGTAATATCCTCTATATTGGCCTACGAGACCGCTAAAGCCCTCGGGCCAATACCTCTTCTTGGCCAATATTGCATTCAGACACACTAGACCTGTGTAATAACCTATAAATACGCAACGGCAAACACTATAAATAGAAAAAAAATGTGAATTTAAACGTATATGAGTTTTGTCCATGTAATATGACTGTGGTCAGGTGACGTGATGCGCCAAATATCGATATCGGTCCGACTTCCGGTTGGGCCGATATCGATTTCCCACTTCGGGTTGCTAAAAAAAACGCGGAAAGATTGACAATTTTATAAGAAAAAAATACGTTTAACTGAAATATATCTTGATAAAAAAGCAAAATTGAAGAAACACTTGAAAAACAATCTCCAAACAGTTAAATAACGCCAAAATATATTAAAAACAAATGTTTGTGAGGAAATGACGTCAACGTCATTAGACGACGTCAAAAGTCCCTCGCTTTTTAAAATAAATTATACATTGTCGCTGAACAATGTTTTCAAACGATTTTTTTAATTCTATAATGAAAACCAAAACATAAATGAGCACATGCAATAAAAAGGTTATAGAACAGGTCTGGTGTGCCTTAATGCGATATGGGTCTACAAGATCGGTATTAGCCCTCGGGCTCTTTTAGTGGGCCAAAATCGAATAAAGGCACATCAGACCTCTGTAATAACCTATAAATATATCCCGCCTCTAAACCAATGAAAATTCGTGAACTTTATTAGCAGTATTATAATTGCGGCTAGTATTGTGCAATGTGAGTTTGCTTTTAGTCTTCTTGGAATCCATGTTGTTATTCATTACTTTATATTCTAGCATAAAACTGCCGTTATAACCATGATTTCGGGGTGTTTTAACAGGACCAAAAAGGTCTTTTAACAAGGAGATTCTAGCGCTCATGCGCTGTTAAAACACCTTTTTGATATACGTTTTCCGTGGCACAGCGTCAATACATTGTGGCCCGGACGCTGCTTAACTAAAACGGAAATGACGTCACGGTCACATACAACGCTGACGTTCCCGTGCAATCCGAGGAAAATCAGTGATGTTGCTTGATTGTGTATGGATTGTGTTAGATTTATGCATGCTTTATGCTAGAATAGCGTTAACGAATGATTGTTCCGTGTCATAACAACTGCTGAAACCCTCGGGATACGTTGGGTCGGGTACCAACTAATCCCTTGGGTTTCTACAGATATTTTAACACGAAAAAAGAAACATGCGTTATTCCTATATTATATCAGAGTTCTTTAGTACTGACGGCTCATCTAGGGTTCAATATGGCGCGGTTCATATAGTTATTTTACCAGTAATATCTATAAAGGAAAGGGTTAAATGAGAATCATGAAGGAAGTTGAATAAATAAACTTAAAGAAAACTTAACATTTCTTGTAGAATATGATTGGTCTTGCGAAGCTATAATTACACGAGGTCATTCAAATATCTTGCAAGCAAATTCGCTGAATTAATGTTTACCGCCGACAGCATCATATACTGATTGAAAATTAAACAATTGCAGGATACATTTCGAATAAAGACTCCGGGGAAATAGTCGGTTAAAGCATAAATTATCAGGGCCCATATCACTCAAGGTCACGGCGATAATGCACATGCCCTTTTTGTATTGAAGGTTCCCACACAATTAAAATTAGATATATTTAACATTTGAAGACATGAAATACTTAAGTTATCTGACTGAATATTAAGCAACCAGGGGTCTTAAC